CTTCATTATCGATCGTCGATCTGTATCCGTTTTTTCTCGATCTGTACTTTCATTCTTCATTCGATTGGGAATACCAATCGTACAGTAGGTATAAACACTCTAAAGGATCTCCGATTTTCCGCTCCTCGAACTTTTTCATCTCATCTCGACGGAAATCATTATAGCAGGGAAAAGGTTAGGAAATTTCTATTTCGAATTTTCGCGATTAGCCGATTGGAATGTATACACGCGGAAATAGAGGGCTGTTATCGACGCGGTATACGTCTAGTAACGAGCGGGAAATGTCGAATAACAATAGAGGGGGACAAATATCGCGAACGTACAATGGGTTACGCGGGACATGAATCGACCGACGTTGGCTTCGCGTAGCGGAAAAAAAAAAAAGAAGCGGATGTTAGCGTAGCCGTGGTAATTGANNGTTGGACTGGAACCTTTTCGAAATACATCCTCTTCCCCTCACTACCACGTGACGAATGGAATGTGAATGTAGAAGGGTTGAGGACGAGTGAAATTCTCTTACGATTCCGTCCACGTTTGGACACTCTTCTGCCGGGTTGTCAGCTCGGACCAGTCATGTCTTTTCCCTCTCTTCTTCCAGCACATCTCTCTCTCTCTCTCTCTCACACTCATTCTTCTCTTTCACCCATCTTCATCCTCCCGGTCCCCTCGTTGTGTAGTGCAGCAAAATTTCAGTCGGACGTTGGAAGAGTTAAAGGTTTAACGGAAACGAACGTGTAATTGAAGATAAGCGAAATGTACGAAACTGAAAATAGTTATTAACTCGATATTAAACGGGTGGGAAGGGGGAAGGAATATTCCGCATTTCTGTAACAAGTTTGTATTAAAACGGAACTTTTCATCTCGGCCGGTTCGTTTCTTCAAAGGAGAGAGAAGGTATTAATAAAACGGGGATTCCTGCAATCAAGTTTCGAAAACTTCTCGATACATATATAACCGCGAACATTATAAAATCAAAAATATATATTTCGTGTTAAATCGCGTAGATAGTGGAACAATATTGTTATGTAAAATAATTTGAAACATTTATACTCGATAATGATTAATTGGTAATTATTTTATAACGTGCAAACTTTTCAAATTAAACTCTCAAGTACACGCACGCGAGTGTAAAAATATCATCTAATAAATTCTCTCTCTCTCTCCTCTCCTCTTCTCCTCCTCTCTCCATTATTCCTTCTTTCCTTCTTCCATCTTCGCACGGCCATTAAATCGAAAATCACCTAACGCATTCGTATCTCGCGTTAATAATTCCTACGATAGAAAGAAAAACAAATTGCACGTCATCTCGCAAGTTACCTGTTTACTGGCAGGCAGCGTTTCTGCATGGTATGCCGTTTTAAATCGTATCCAAGCGAAACATTCGCCGAGGTCGAAGTTCGGCTTTATTGGATATCGGAAAACGTCCCTTCTCTCTCTCTCTCTCTCTCTCTCTCTCTCTCTCTCTCTCT